CAAACCTATTACATGGTGTACTTTCTTTCTTGTCCCATCCTTCCTCCTCTCCATTCTTTCCTATCACTCTCTTTTATTTCTTCTTTTTTCTTTGATAGTTATAGAGTTTAAACTCAGTTATTCGTGCATTTTACATCAAGAGTCACACAGCCATGTTTTCAGTTGGTTTATTTGCCACCGCTCCCCCAGCCATTATATTTAAGATAGAGTCTCATTGACTGACCAAACATGCACCTAGATAGAAATCCACAATTTTTTAGGCTTCCCATAGTTTCTGGAATTACAGCTACATACCACTACACTTAGTTTCCCTCTGTTGAGTTGAAGACTTGCAGAATTTTCTGTCCTGTATACACCTACATAGTTTAGGATGACAGGCCTAGTTCACTGTGTCCAGCTATGGGCAGAAAAGATGTTTTACGTTTTCTGCCTAGGATAGTGGTAAACTATGATACTCCCATTCCAATCTCCCAATTAGTTAGAACCGCATTGGCTATGGGTTCCCAGCTCCTCCTACATTTCTTGTTAGGTTTACCTTTATGTAATCACCTAATCTAAAATTTTTAGTTAGTTTACTATTACCCACAATTCTTTCCCCAGTGGCCAATAGATATTTCTGAAGTGAATGAAGGGATATATTTTCAGTGCTTTTGCTCTCTTCCCTCCTTGTGGTGGTTTAGTAAGTTCTGTCTACTCCAAGTCCCTTTTTAAGATGTCCTTTCCTAATATCGGCACTGTTACTGCAGTTATATAAACCCTCATGCTTCCCAACTCTTTTATGTCTGAAAGTTATGCCATCTACACCCTTTGTACAGATTTTGTCATTTTATAAATTGCCTCAAAAATATTTAATTTCACCCCATCTGAAAAACAACATTGCTATTTGTCCAGACTCTACAATGAAAGATTCTTCTCTTGCTACTTCTGACTCATGAACTGAATCTTCATCTAAAGCCAAACTTTTCCTTTCTGGATCCCACTGTGTAATTGTACACATCCATTCCTCTGGCCATATCATTACCTAGGCTGAAAGGGCTCTCCCTTGTATTCTCTTGCTCAAATCCTGTTCCTCTTAGAGCCTCAAACCTAAATATCTCCTAAGCCATTAATGAGACTTAAGTTTTTTTTCTCTTCTTAAGGCTTTCATGGTTCTCTTTTTAGACTTCTTTTCTAGTTCTCAATAGTTTAAGCTGTATGCTAATGGTCTGTTCATTCATCTGTGTTTTTTGGAAGCCTTAAAACACCCCACCCTAGCCCATAAATAGTGCCAGTCCCACAGTGAAAGCTATAGAAAAATTTTAGGATTGGCATGGAATTAAAGCCATATGCAGATTATTTTTGAAAATTACACATATGTTTCAGGAGTCAGAGAACGTAACAGAATAAAATGAGATCAGAAGTTTTGAAAATAGAGTAAGACTTTAAATACTAAAAAAAAATGTGTTCCTTCATGTGATAATGATTCATATTTCAAAAGAAATACCATTTTCAGGGACAGAACTTCCCTGAAAATCAAGGTCTTTGGTAGTGGAATCCTTACAACATTCTGGAGCCACCAGTGCTTTCTTTGCCTTTCAGATTCTCTGTACCGGAAGCAGCACGCGCACTTTGTAGGCCTGTAGCATTCATTCTCTCTTGCACATTCACTAGGCTTATTTTTCCTACTGTGTTCCAGGTGTAGTCCTTAGAGCTCTGGTGCTTAAGATGAGATAATGTGCTGCCCATGGAAAGGAGGCATTGCAACTCCTCTTCAGAAAGCTCTCATTTCTTTCCATGACCTCGGTGGGAACATGAGCCTCTCTGGAATGTACAGCCGTGTGTGTGTGTGTGTGTGTGTGTGTGTGTGCATTCCCCCTTCTTGGAAGGAGAGAATTGGATAGGAGAAAGCAGGCTATCTGCTATACTACCCCAGGTTGCCTCTGTGTCTCAATCCTTCAATGGCTGCACTTTCAGTGTGCTCACTGAGCAGGGAGCAATGGCAAGAGCTTGCTCTATCTGAATTTTAATTAGATGTGGTAAAAACTCCTTGCCAGTTCACAGAAAGCCACTCTTCAGGTTTGCTTTCTTTTAGTGAAGGGCATTTTACCCAATTAGAGGGAAATTATCAAAGCATAAAGAGGCCAAGTTCCAATCTTTGTCTCACTACAGATTTACCACAGAAGAAAGTATTAATTATATTCACTGAACAATAAGAACAGGCGCTATCCCTGTGGAGGACTCTTTTCTCTTTTAACTCTTTATTAGCAAAACATTATGGATGTATAGACTGATTAGAGTGACTTATAAAGGCCTCATATATAACCATATCCATATTGAATAATTATGAATTGTACAGCCTGATTTATGTGTATTCTCTTCTAATATGCTCAGATTATTTTGAAGCAAACCAGACACCATATTTTTTCTTGTATGATTATTGTAAGTATGTATATAGGAATTCTGTTAGCAATATTATAAGCACAAATTATATCTACTTAATATATTACTCAATCTACTTGAAATCCATATTTTGATGCTTCAAAACTTAAAAATCATTTAGTCTTCAGTAGTACGTAGAAATGGAAAAAAAAATAAAAACATACATGGAGTATTGGATTGTGTGAGCTAGCTCTACCCCTGACGTTAATCTGTTTTGTACACAATAGCTCTCAGGGTTCAGAAACGCCCCTCCTTCGGTCACCTAGTAACTTTTCCCTGGTCAACAACAAGCTGAATAAACTTTTACGTTGCATGAAAGTGCTTAGCTAGCTGACTTGGGTCATCTCCTAGATTTTAGAAGAAATAACCATTGCCAAGTTTGAATTTGCTAAACTTTTGAGGCTCTGCTGGCAGGAAAGAAGCTTATAATTTGGGAGCATACAATGGGTACAGAAGATCTAGGTTCAGGTAAACTAGGCCACATATTGAAGCAGATTTGGAGACAAAACCACATGCTCAAACAGGCGCTCCTGGGTGATGAGAGGGTTGGTGGGGCCACTTGGGTAACCACGGTGGTCTTTTTGGGTCAAGAGCTCAACGAAGCCCTTTGCCAACTGTTGGAACACACTGCAGGGACCCTGTGCTCAACCTGCCAACAGCTGCATGCTCTGCTTGACAAAGAAAATCAATGTTTCTGGAGACAAGGCAAGTATTTGCTTATTTATTTGACTTATTCTTTTTCTGAGAAATATCGATTGGAACAGTATCTATGAGGGATAATGAGCATACAAGCATGGCTAGGATCAAATCTGCTTACAAAGGGGCTAACCGTGTGGCAGAGGAAATAAGATAATACAAATACAAGGGACTTGGAAGTCAGTCCCATCAGATACACACAAATGAATGCTTTGGGGCTTGGGAGAATCCTATTTTTAAGGCAAGACATTTAGAATTCTGCTAGAACCAAATACAACACTTATACTAAAGCTGATAGAATGAATTGGATTTATGCAACTGGAAATTTGGGAGTCGTCAGGTACTATTAGGCTCAAAGACAGGCAAATACAGGCCTGGTGTAGGCAGAGCACGCAGTTTCTCTATTTTGGAGGAGCATATTCTATCTCTAGTGTCATTTGAGCCTAGACCTATTAATTACAAATGCACTGGGAAGACTGGATAGGCTGGAATAGAAAGTTGGATCCCTTCCACACTGAAGGGAGGGAGAGCAAATTCTTGGGAGTAGGTCCAGTTATAGATGCTGGAAAATGCAGGAAGTCAGGAAGAACATGGTATCTGATGAATATGAACCAGCACTTTGAAATCTAGCTAAAGTAAAACTCTGTCAGAGTTAAGTGGGAAGGTCCTATCAATCAAGAATCCAGGGTAGATAATATTAAGAAATTTGAACTAGAAGACAAATAGCACACATCAGAGAAATATGTCATCAGCTCCAGCTTACAACCAAGACTCCAGTCTCTGGGGAGAATTAAATATGGAGCTAGGCAGCATGTCAAGATGAGAACTCAGCTTTCAGAAAAAAAAAAGAGTTCAAAACAAAATAGGGTCTCAGGTATAATACAAACTGTAAGTTGCCAGAACTGAACCCCCCCAAAAAAAAGAACAGACTAGGAAAAGGAGAGATTGATGATAATGTATGGAGCCTTAAAACACAAATTCCTTAGTTCATACTGACCAAAAGGTTAGAGAGAAATTAAGCCCACAAGATGTCATCCGATGACACTAGTTGTGAGAAGAGAGATGTACAAAAAGAACCTGATATGAAATGAGGGTATAAGACATTATCAGATCCTGATGAGAGTTTATATTGCAGTGAAGAGACTTGACTTGACTTAGTTGTTCTTGAGTAGCCATTACAGGATCTAGCTAGAGAATGGCATGATAAGAGCTACTATGAAAGACTAATTTAAAATTATTTGATGATCACAAGTCCTTAGGAGGCATAGCATAAACTGAATTTAATTCTTACAACACCAAACTACTTCCTTCCCCAAATACAGCATGAACATCTGTAGAAATAAGGTAGCTACAACTTTTCCTGCTAACCAAGTCTTTTCTGGAGTCTAGCTTATTTTAGGCCCAAATTTCTAAACAGATATCATATAATACCTATAAAGGCCAAGGAATAACTCAAAATTATACACATGAGGACTTAATGGAGATGCTGGGTTCCATTTTTATCCAAGAGAAGGGTGTCATAATGTTTGGTTTCAAAATTCAAAGCCTTTTTACAAATAAGAAGGATCAAATTTGCTTTTTTGAGACGACTACATGTAAAAGTAGTTTATTTCAAATTTGAAGTATTAGAATGCATAAAGTATAAAATGCATAAAGTATAAAATGTTTTTCCTTCAGGAAGTTGACCTAAATGCCCAGTGAAGCTTTTGTAGGTTTCTAAGATTATCATGCTCTACCCTATCAGTATAGAAGCATCATTTGGCTTGTATTTATATATTTATTTATTTGTGTGTCTAGAAATTATTGCTTTCATAGACAGCCTCATGAAAATGAATGAATATTTGGGGAACACTTCAATGCTTCTAAAGAAAGAAGAAAAAGAGTTGTGTAATTTATGCAGCATGCATGATGAACATACTCCACAGCAGACAATATCGGCCATTCAAGACACCAAAGCAACAGACATTACTGCAAGAGGGGAACTAAATGTCATAGAAACAGCTACTGTTTCTCCTACAAATGAAGAGGAAAGGCACGACACAAACCAGGTCCAGTTAAAAGAAAATAAAACACATGTAAATTCTGAATTAGTGGAAAAAGAATACAATGCATCATTGAGTGGAAATGTAATAGGTCAAGGGGAGTCACAGAACCCAATGTTCCCAGATAATGCAGAGAGCAGAGACGATAAACAAATAGAACACGTGGCTGCTGAGAGCACAAATGGCAACAAGGAAGAGATTCATGACATAATCCAGACAACAGAAAGAGAAATTCAAAAGACTTCAGAAAGCCGAAGAGAAGAGATGACCACACGCTCAACAACATGCGATATCTCCAGTAATTATGTGACTCATCTTCCCAGTGACTCAGAAAGTCTAAAGCAAAAAAATAACATGATGGAAAAGGAGTAAGTTAATACAAAGTGAAAAGTGCTTATTGATGCTTCCTTATAAGTGTGTTTCTGTAGTTCATAAATGTTTTAGCCTATTCAGGCTGCTATCACAAAATACCATAACCTTGGAGTGGGGGTAGCTTCTAAGTAATTGAAACTTATTTTTCACAGTCCTGGAAGCTGAGAAGACTAATATTAAGGCACTGGCAGATTCCATGTCTGGTAAGGCTTTCTAGTTTCCTACATAGGGGAAGACATGCAAAAGCTCCCTTTATACTCTTATAAATGGCAGTAATCTCATGCATAAGAACTCCACCCTTATGACCTAATCACCTCCCCAAAAAGCCTCACTCTCTAATATTCCCTACTACTAGTAAGATCTTAACACAAATTTTGGTAGAATGCGAACATTCATCCCACACCAGTGAACATAGCATTTGTATCTAAGCAAAATTTTGTATTTCCATGTCATATCTCCATGAGATTTTGAAATAAGTCACTCATATGGCTGTTATTACTAATATTTTATTTCTCCCAGTTTTAGAAAACCAGTATATGTAATTTGCTTTCCATTCTTTGGGAAGTTCTTGAAGTGTATCTGTTTGAGTACTATTTTTTTAAATTATCCAGAGTTCTGAAAAAGTGTCCATAGGTTGGGCTAGATTAGCTGTGATATCCCCACAGAGCAAAGCGTCTTTCAAAACACAGAAGTTGAAAAGAAAGGCATACTTCCTGAATTATCTTCTTCTATACGGTGATATTGATCCTTTGTTTGCCCAGATAAAATTACACATTCCCAAATGTTTTCAAAGACAAATGTAATATTCTTGGAAGGCAATGAGGAAGAGTCTGGAAAAATCTTGTTTGGGGAAGTCAAATAGATAATTTTCATTTTGAGCCTCACTTTCTTGTTTGTGGAAATAATACATATGCTTTCTGGGAGCTTTTGGTAAGATCAAATGAGAATATCACACAAGGTGCAAGCACTATGCAGGTGTTTATGCTCAACTATGTGTGGGTGTCTTAGTTTATTTTACCCTAAACAATCCCCAATTTCCATGTCCCCCACTCACTGCTTTTCTTCACTTACCTCTCTCCCTTTTTTTTTAGCAATGATGTGATGAAGGTTTCTCAGGAAGATATGAACACCATTTCCATTTCCAGGACAACATCACTGAATGTGATTTTCACATGTGCTTGTGCTCTCACCAGCCTTTGTTATTTGTGCTACATGGAGAGATTGGGCTGGTGTAGCTGGGATGTCTCTAAAAGCAGAGAATCTAACACATGCATGCTGTGCATGAGTCTTTCAACACATGAAAGACCTGCATAACTAGTCACAATTACTGGTCCTGCAAAACAACTGCTAATGTAGTCAGTGTGCAGTTCCCCATTGAAACTTCATAGCCTCATATTCAACATGACTCAAAACAACAGCTTGTGAGTCACTGTATAAACCACTCCCTCTAACACCTCTTTTAGGTGTTTCCTGGCTAACAATTTCCCCTTTTTGCAGCATCCAAACCAAAATGTGCTTGGTTTGCAGATTTAAGGCCTATTGTTCACTCCAGGCTAGGAAGCCATCATGCCACATAAAAGGTATATGTTGTAAACAAAACTCTGCTCAGAAATGGTTGTGGTTCTCCTATGGATAACTTTCCAAAAGAGCCTTATATTCTTTCTCAAAGCTATCCTAGTGCAGACAAACAAAAGGAGGGGAAAGACTAGAATAAATCAACATAGGCTAGATACATTTGGTGAGGACTAGGAAAAAATGGAGTCATGAGTCTCCTAGAACTCGTTTATCTGTCATTTGGGAACAACCTTGTGAAGAAAAATGTGTTAAGATGGTCACCAGGACACAGGAGAGGCGTTCTTCTTTACACAAGTTGTTCTTGGATCACAGTGTCCTCTACTGAACAATGTTTCTCATATTTTGAATTTCGACAATTATTATTAGAGAACACTCAAGCAGACCAATGTGTCGGCTTATTTTCTACTAGTAACAACTTTATGAGTTCAGTGTTATCAGTATAAATAAACAGCCCTCTTTATAGCTTCAGTATTTTTAAAGATTCCTATGCTAAAGTGGCACTTTGAAATTTTATTTACAAATGGTTGAAAACAGCTAAGACCCAATTTGAGTTGGGTACGAGTAAGAAAATAACATTGTCTATCATATACATTTTGTGTTTCTTCAACATTACATATATTTCAGTCATTTCCCTGATGTGCAATGATAAATGACAGGATGTGAAGATATACAAGTTGGTAATTTTAATGGAGAAATCTAAATGAGCAGTCATCTTATGTTGATGTAGTAGTACTAGATGTTAAGTGTTTTATCCTGAACAGTCCTCACAACTTACATAGTAACTATTAGTTTCAATTTGTACTGGGTCAACTAACAGGTACTTTGGATCTAATACTTGAGGAGATACAGCACTTGAGAGTATGAGTTTGTATGAATTTTCATATTAATGACAGATGGTACCAGTTATTAGTTTAAAAATTTAACAAGTTAAATTTTCTAAGCCTCAGTTTCCTTGTCTATAAAATGGTGTCAGAACAATGCCTGCTTGATATGAGAGTTGTGAAAATAATTAAAATTATGTGGTCGTAAAATTCGGCCTACAGAAAGCATTAAAACATCAGCTATGCTAAAAATAAGTGTCTTTGGTTAAACAATGAGAAAATGATTGATTTCTAATGAGGGCTAAGGATAAAAAATAAGCTTATGATTAATTGTCAATCCTCAATATTTTTGCACCTTTCTGAATTTTTCAAATCAACAAATAAAAAATCCCCAAACATTCCATTTGATATTGTGTTAGAATTCCAATATGTCATATTTGGTTATGTCCTCTCCTCCCAATTTAGCAAATTTCTTCAATTTTTTTTTATTTATCAATAAGCATGAGAAATCCTTAAATTCTTGATTGTAGAGTGAATAATAAGTAATATAAACAATAATAGTAACAACAGTAATAACTATATCTCATGTAATTAATATTGAGGATGCCTTTTATGTGCTAGGTACATTATTACAGTTCATTTAGCACCTATGAAGTAGGTTCTGTGCTTGTGTGTACGTGTAAGCATGCAAATGTGCACACCAGTGCTGAGGCTTAAACTCAGGGCCTCATGCTCTCGTATCTTTTTCATTGGAGCTCTACCACTTGAGCCACAGCTCCACTTTAAGCTTTTTGCTGGTTAATTAGGGATTTTCTACCTGGGATGGCTTCAGACCTCCATCCTCAAATCTCAGCCTCTTAAGGAACTGCAATTACAGGCCACTTTACCATTGAGGGAACAGAGTCCTGGAGAGATTTACGTATCTCTCTCAAAGAGCATAGGGTTGAGTAGTAGGAAAACAAAGGTTCACACAAGTCTAAGTGTTCTTGAGCCTATTCTTTTCTGCATTTAGCTATGAGAAGTATATGAATAACATAATTGGTCAAATAATACTCTACTTTCGTCTTGCAGGTATTATGACGTGCTGGGTGAAGGAACTGACCCTCAAGTGTCTTGTTACATTACAGCACCTTCGTATGCCCTTCAACAACTAGAATGCCAGATAGCTAACAACATGAGTTCTTTAATAGTGAGTGATAATGAAGAATTGCTCAGCAATGTCATTACTGTTGAATGCTCAGACAAGGAAATGAGAATTCCATTCCCAATATGCATTGCCATCCCTTTTACTGCACGCTACAGAGGAAATTACAGAGACATCTTGGTGAAAGTGTCTGACAAAAACCTCCAATCAAGTTACCTAATGCCCAATCCACTAGAAGGAATGAGAGGAAGTTACAAGGTCAGAGGATCATTGGCTATATCTGTAATTGTTGTTTGGCTCTTCCAAATAGTACTCAGCCCAGGAGATTGTAAGAATGACATAATTGCTTCATGGGATTAAAAAAAAATAACAGGATGATTGATCTGTGCCAAGATACCCATACTTTTTGCCACCTGTAAAGATGACAGAGCAGAAATTATTTGATAAAGATAGAAAGGGAAAATTTGAGTCTAGAACCAGCAAGTGTTACAATGCAACCTAAACATGTAATCAAAATCATGGCTTCATTGGCTTCATGAATTGATTAGCTCTCTAGTAATGTAAAGGTGGCTCGGTGGTAGAGTGCTTGCCTTGCATGCATGAGGCCCTGGGTTCAATTCTTCAGCACCACATAAGCAGAAAAAGCCGGAAGTGGTGCTGTGGCTCAACTGGTAGAGCTCTAGCATTGAGCTAAAGAGCTGAGGGACAGTGCCCAGGCCCTGAGTTCAGGCCCCACAACAAACAACAACAACAACAAAAATCTGGAAACTATCATGTTGGAATTTAAGAATGTTAGAATCTCTGGATAATAGATAATAAATTTTCTTACCATTCATGGACTGGAAATTTCTGTGAAAAATGAAAAATTGTGTATGTGTGTATGTGCACTCCACAAATGAAATTCAGTCTCTATATAGAAGATATTATTATGGTAGTTTGGATAAGGGCAGTGAAGAAGTTCTGATATCTGGTTCCTGTATTTTCTTACTATGTGAACCTGCTTAAGAAATTTTACCACTTGAGCCACACCTCTGCACACTGTTGTGCCACATTCTTGCTTTAGTTATTTTTGGGTCAAGGTTTTACACTTTCTGTCTTGGTTAGGCCCAGATCATGATCTTCCTTCCTGCACTTCCTGTGTAGCTAGGGTAACAGGTGTGCACTACCCCATCTTTAACAAGCTTAGTGTTTGAGAAGGAATCTCACTTTTTTTTTTTTTTGCCTTAGCTGATTTTAAAACTACAATCCTGATTTCTGTCTCGCAAATTGCAAGGGTGAATGACTACTATCTCAAATTCTCATTATTTTTCCCCTCTGGAAAATAAATATAATAATAATTTTTACCTGATAAGGTTTTAGGGATCAAGTTAACAAACACTTAAGAAGATAAATAGAAGCCTATGGAACCAGTTGTCAATAAATTGTCATTTTCATGATAGACTACTAGAATAACTCTGAGGCTCTCTATGGTCACAAATTCATGTATTAAGAAAAGAATATGTGCTATTATTAAATTAAATACCATAGAGTTGTTTGGGGGACTAACATTTGTTGTTCTTCTGTGGGCTACTTAACTTAGTTTTAGCCAATTAAAATATGGCTTTTTCAGCATATGTAAGTTTTCCTTCTTGCATGAGGATGGCAGAAAATGAATGAAAATATTCTTCATGCTGCATCTCTTTCTTTTTTACTTTTGGCATTTGCAAATTACAAACAAGATTATATAGTTGAATAAATGAGCTAAGACTGTCCTAATTACATATTCCAATCTATAAGCTAATATAGCTAGTTTTATCTAGCAAGCCTGCAGTTATAAAAGTCTGGTCAACACAGTCTTTGATTTCGCTTTTTAATTTTGGCATGTTTGTGTTATTAGCACAGTAAAAGTAAGAATTTTCCCAGCACATGTGCTTTTCGCAAAATAGTTTTGTAAGAAGTTTCTAAGTGGATAGATAATCAAAGCAAAAGAAAAATTAAGAGAATGGTCTATTGTAAAAAGAAAAAAAAAGCATGGATGTTTCCTTTTATAGAAGTCTTAGGGCAGTTTTCTCTAATTTTAGCCTAAGAAAAATTTGAATATGGATTCCTTCCAGATTTTTATGTGGTCTTATGACATTTGAAATTCTAATTTTAAAAGCCCATTTTGTTTCCTGGTATCTGCCAACTGTGGTCTCAATATATGACAAATACTACTGGCTCCCAGGAGACCTTTCTTACTCCTCACTCCTTTCCCTCTGGCCAATGAAGAACTTTCATCATTCTCTGAATTTTCCCAGCCACAGATGTATGTGGTGATATTGTGAAATCTCCTCCTTAGTCAGCTTTCAAATGACAGATTTGTTTTCCATTGTGATTGACCCTGAAATGTCTGTGTTTGTGCATACGTGAATTCCCATCCGTGCTAGGGTGGAGTCCGCCTGTGTTTGGGGAAGCATGAATAGACCAAATAGCTTCTAAGTCTGCCTCGTAATTGTAATTAAGGTTTGCAGATTATATGAGTGAATCGTTTATGTGCACAGTTCACTTTTGTGTGATTAAAAAAAGGCTTGAATATATGCCTGCATGTATGATTACACAACTGAATGTCACTATATAAAAAAGAAACACAAATGTATCTGTGCCGGCATCTGCTTCCACTGCCCTAAGATGGATTCATTTTAGCATCCTGAAAGAGTAAGCTGTTACAGGAACAATTTTTTTCAATGTCCAGGTGCTAGTGCTAAATCATGAGTACCTATAGCATGACATTCAAGTTCTTAGAATTTCCTAAATTAGACTTAAATATTCTGCATATATACCTGCATTTCAATTCCATGCTGGCAAAAGGAGTCTAGGATTCCCAAAGCAATTAATATTCACGTAAACAATGGATATGTTTACCATTAGACTTATATACTTGTAGGGATTAGAGAGTTGAAACAATTTATTTCTCTTTCATTCTGTTGTGCAGCCCACATTACATGATGTAATATGCATAGCAAGCATTTTCCTAAAGGTATTGTAGATTGTTTTAATATCTTTTTCTATATACAGGGAACTTGTGCTGTAGTAAAAGCTTACAAGTTGGGTATATTTTCTGTGGTGTCTTGTTTAAAGAAAGAGTCATTCACAGTGACAAAGAAAGGCCTTACTCTGAAGTCAAGCCTGGATTCCCGAATCTCCTTTAGCTACCCTGCAGGAGTGTTCAGCTCACCAGTGCTTGTACAATTAAAGGTAAAAATTTGGAAAATCAATTTGTTCCCTCTCCTAGATTCCGCAGATCACTGAAGCTAGGGTTCCAAAGGCTGGAGATGTCGCGGATGTTTTATATAACAGTAAATAAAAGCTTCTCTTGCATTCGTGGTAGGTCAACATAGGGTGAGCTCAGAGATGAAGTCATGATTTTGAGCATACTGAATCTCACTGCAAAATAATTCCCTGCTTTATTTGAACAGTTTCCAGCTGATCTTTCTTATAGGTTGATTTATGGTATGTATTGACATACACATATGTTGAGAATCTATGAAACAACTGATGATAGCATTCATGTACTTTGAATCCCAGAGAATGACAGAAGGTAATCAATTAAAATATTCATTGCTCTGCCTTATCAGTTATATTTAATTATGAAAATTAATATTTTTGGAGTAAGAATTTAACCTATTCAAATACTGTTTCCAAAGTGTGTAATGGTATGTCATTGTATATTTTAGAAGATTTGTTTCCTCTAATATCTTTCACGCTTCAACATTTCTAAGTGTTTTTTCTCTCTGGTTCTCCTAGCTATTACTATCATAAATGGCACGTTAAGAGGAAAGAATAGGGAAAAAATATATTAGATATACTATATTCATAAATATTTTACATGAACTTGAAAATTTTGGAATTATGGTAATTACTTTTTGTTAATCATTGTTCTTATGTGAAAGAAAATGTGCAAATATAGTCTTGTTTTTCTAGTTTCTAAAGAACACTTGATCTAACAATAGATCTAATTAGAAGTTATATAAAATTTCTCTTGTGCTTTCTAGGTCATTTCATTGCTTACAGTTCAGTATTGTTTGGTTATTTATAACCTCAGACAGAACCAGATTTCAGAATGACTTGTATGACGGGTCTCAAATGTGGTGCCTTAGATAAATAATATAATTTTCAGCTAATGATGTACAGAGAAATATATAAGCAAAGTTCTATAAAATTTTCAAAATTGACTTATGATATGCAAACATTTTTCTACTAAACATATAAATATCTTTTTCTTCTTTGTATAGATCCAACCAGTTGACCCATCTCTGCTGGTGTATTTAAAAACACAACAAGATTCTTCCTATTCAGTATTGTCCACAAGCCCTCTGATTCATGCTCTACACCCTTCAAACCATCCTTTTCAGAAGCCAGTCACTATACTCCTACCTTGTACTCCACATCCTGATAAGAAGAATCTTGGATTAGAGGAACATCATGAAAGAAAAGCTAGTGCCACAGCAAACAAACTCACACCAGCACCTTTACATTTTCATCGGTGGGTATGAACTTACCTACTCTTGTTAATTGAGTTAATGGTAACCAAAGAAACATATCTGGTTAAAAATGGTGTTCATGTGACTTAAAGTATCCGTACTAAAACTGCCTAAAATGTACTTAATTTAGTAATAGAATACTATTGACCAACCAAAGGGAGTAATTTTAATCTAATGGACTAACAAATTGTTCTTAGAAATAAGATGGATATAACAAATATAAAAATTAATCCTTTTAATATGGTTAGTTATTTTTCTTTTTTTTTCTTTCTTTTTTTTTTTTTTTTTGGTCATGGGGCTTGAACTCTGGGCCTGGGCACTGTCCCTCAGCTCTTCAGCTCAAGGTGAACGCTCTACCACTTAAGCCACAACACTTCTAGTTTTCTGGTGGTTTATTGGAGATAAGAGTCTCACAGACTTTCCTTCCAGGGCTAGCTTTGAACCACAATCTCAGCCTCCTGAATAGCTAGGATTACAGGTGTGAGCCACCAGGGCCCAGCTTGATTAGTTATTTTTATACTTTAAAAGGATTTTAATTCTTTACTTAATGTTAATTTTAATTTCTAGACTTAAAAGAATTTAATTACTTATGGTTCTGTTTTTGTAAGAAATTGAAACAAATTGAAATTTGAATTTATAGTTATCTTATTGGTGGATCCATTCTTCTTTCAATTTTAATTATTAAACAAAATCACCAATAAACCAAATTTACATTTTAGATTTTTCAGACATAAGTAAAATTAGAAATAAAATGCTAAGGACAGATAGGACTTATAAAATACATATGACATTAAAAATAAGGACTTTAACTTCTATCCTTTCGTTTAAGATTTGTTTTCATTTATAATACTGGAAGCAGGAACAGACCTTTCTATTTATTAACTCTAAAGGGATTTTTTCCTGTATAACCAGACTTAGAAACAACCATGGATACTTAATTGAATAGCCTCTGTTAAATGAGATATTGTTATATACCAGGTTCATTTTTTATAATATTACATGCAATATGATTGCCATGATTTTATCAGTGAGAAGACTTAAACTCAATGACAGTAAAACTTATACAAGTGCCTATCCCTAATGAGTGCTGCACGCTTGTCCCAAACTCAAAAATCTCTGTAATGATCATTTTCAAGGTTTGCAGTTAAGAGGCTGGAAAATGATATGTGGATTATTTCTTCTTTCCTGATATTTGCAGTTTAAGAAACTGGCAACAGTAGAATGTTGGGTTATGGCTTGAGAATGGAAATCAAGCTTTCTCTAGTGAAAAAATAGCTAAAAGAGAACTAGACATATATAAGCATTATCCAATTATATGTGTGCTTTTGCTATAAACAATTATATGTGTGCTTTTGCTATAAACATCATACATGCACATATTCTAGCCAACAATTTAATTAATCCATACTCCATATATTTGGCATAAATATTTTGGAATTCTCAACTCAAATTATTTTGAGTTCTCGATTAGTAGTCTAATAAATTGAGACTTATTTGCTCCCCAAAATACCCCTTAAAGTACCTATACCGTGATTGTTTATGCAGTAAAACAGTCCTAAAAACAGATTCTGACCTACAATTAATTATCAGACATATATGTATATAATTTATACATAAACATATATGTTTATGCATATTATGTATTTATATATGCACATATATATACGTATAGATGTATATATACCATACATATCATATATATATATATATATATTAAGATTCCTTGATAATTGTAATTCCAAATACTCTAAGTGCTGTAATTGGAATGAGTTCATTATGTTTAGTGTGTATTATTGACCTTCCCATTACTATAACTTTGATTACTTTAATCTTCTTGATGGTACTGCGGTTTGAATTCAGGCTCCTCTGCTTGCTAGGCAGATGATCTATCATTTCAGCCGTGGACAAAGAGGTAGCATAAACAAGGAGCTACCTGTGTGCATCAAGAAGAACAAAATATGGGACTGTTCTAGCATTGTGGGTATTCCTCTGGGAAAATGACTATATATGCATTTGGGGTCCAGGATGAGTGTATGCATGAACGTAGTGTGTCACTGGAAGCTCAAACTTAGTATATACATCTAAGAAGAAGAGTGAAGAGAGAGACTTTTCTATTTCCTCTCTACACCTGGAAACACTACTGTTGAAATAGTGGCAAATGCTGGCAAAGACCACCAATGGAGTAATATGGTATCAGATCCAGAGGGCTGCTCAGATTGAACCATCAGTCAGGCAAACTCCAGCAGTGGATGCAAGAATAGGGACCATGCATAGAGGGGGACTTCTTAGATAATGCAGTGTGGGAAGGTTGTAGCAGGGACTAATAACACGCTGGATTGTGTAAGTACCAACATTCACAAGCCCATAACCCAACAAGCATAACTGAATCAGGAAAGAACATTTTCTCAGTTGTGTAATAAGAATGAAAGCCCTTTGAATTGATATTCAAATGTCTCTACATTGGCAAACCGTGTTAAATTTAGGGTGCATAATTTGACACAGTATACGGTCCCCACTTTACAAACCAAATTAAAAACTCTGCAGGAAAAAAAAGGCAACTGGAAATTCATCAGACTATTATAGTCTTTGGCTCTAGGCAATTTGACTTCTTACACTTTTTTTTTTTTCCCAATCTACATTTCTATTTTAAAATAGCACTGTCGTCAATGTGAATAACTTAATGGGACGATTTTTAATTTTTGGAATGCAGCAATGCCATTTAGAATCAGTAGTTTAATGACTAAATTATAGTTTTCTGAAAAAAATGTTAATCCTAAATGTTAACGACATTTATATGTAAATGCCTATGCATTATGCATACCACAAAGAAAAACGTCCTGAAAGTAAAATATGGGAATTTTGATGATATGATTGCATGCCAAATTATGGACACATTAATTTTATACAGATAAAGTTAGAGAAATATTTTAACCAGTATGTGAACAGAGAATGATACTTTTCAAGCAAAATTTGACCACTCCTGAATTGACTTTTTTTTTCTTGGTCCCAGTACCCCTGAGGCTTGAACTCACGGCCTAAGTGCTATCCCTGAGCTGTTTTTATTTGCTTAGGGCTAGCCACTTGAGCCAAAGCTCCACTTCAGCTTTTTGGTGGTTAATTGGAGATCAAAGTGTCTCAAGGACTTTTCCTGTCCAGGCTGATTTCAATCTGTGATCCTCAGAGGTTAGTCTTCTGAGTAGTTAGAATTATAGTCATGAGCCACTGGTGCCTGGCTTGACGAGACAATTTAAAAAAAAAAATCAAGATTGCTGTAATTTGAAGAACTTCCATGACATAATAATATTGTCATATTGGACTCCTAACAATTTAATTTCTAAACAACACTAGTGTCAAAGTTTCCCAATAATACATTTAAAGGGCCTAAGTTAGATGAAATGTTTCAGGCATACCATGAGATTATTTAGTTTGATATTAAACTCTAAATTTGATTTTTATATCATTAAGAACTCCTTAAAAGTGACAGAGAAGAAAACAAAAAAGCAAAAAATTGGATTCTTTGGTTTAGGTAAATAGAAAATCCAGCATCTATTTACCTTTGTAGAAATATCTTTAAATCAGAAAGAATCTATCTTTTCTTCCTTATCTGATTTCTCTGACATGTTTACCCTTGTGTGAGTAATATGGCTATACTACATCTTCACATCTTCAAGTTCAATAGAAAAGAGGAAGGCTCTCTGCCTCATACATATGAATAAATACCAAGGGCTTGAATCTCAGTCCAAATCTATTACAAATCCATAAGGGAATATTTCATGGACACCCAAAAAGAAGCAGTGTAGATGGGGCTATGAGATGATACTTGGTCTCCTGAATTTCAAGGGCATCTAACAACAGCCTTTATACCTCACAATATCTTATGGCATCAATGTAGGGTGCTACTTAGATGTTCTCCCTCCAGGACTAAAGAAGGTAGAACAACCTTGACTTGGTTGTTGTCATGGTCACAGAGGAAAGAACTTTAGTTGATCTGTGAGGAATTGAATGCCTTAAAGCTACATATCTTTCATGAATTCCTAATTCATCCATCAGAACTAGTCATACAGTCCTACTCAGCCATAAGGGTCAGGACGTCCATCACTATGATGTAGTCAGAGCAACAGGATATTGGATATTTTGGTGAACAACACTAATGGATACCAGATGACTGGAGTCACTATTCAAATTCAGTTTCTATTTTTCCCCAGATCTGTGAGTAGCAATCACATTATATTTGAAAGACTATAAGTTGCCACTAAAATAAAAAAGGCTGTTAACAGAAAAAGTGAATAGTTACTATTAGAAAACAAAACATTACAAATGATTGTCAGTTTCTAATAAATGACCAAGATTCTGATTCAGCATGATTATATCTATATCTCCATCCATCTATCTATCTATCTATCTATCTATCTATCTATCTATCTATCTATCTATCTATCTATCTATCTATCTATCTATCTATCTTTCTGTCTGTCTGTCTGTCTATCTATCTTCCTGTGTCATAAACTAACTTTCAAGAGTTAATTTTACCCTATCAGTGTTAATAACCCAACAACCACACATTAAATGCCAGTATTTTTGCTTCACTTCCTGAACACATAGCTTCTTTCTCCAAATTACTCTATAGCTTCCTTCAGGTACTATACCTTATATTGTAATATGGTAAAGCTCTACTACCCAGTTTGTGCTTCTATAGGCAAAAGAAGCCAGTATTCCTTAGCTGAAATAATATGAGCACATATTATATACTTAATGAATTGGTTAGTGGAAAGTGCCTAATTCAAAAAATGGGTGCAGTATGCTATGTACATTTTTATCTGTTTCTTTTCCCTTACCCCTTTGTAGGGCCAAAAGTGCTTCTGTCAGAAAACCTGGGAATAATGCCTGTGAAACCTTGAGGTTACTGGGATTTAGAAGCCGGGACAGTTGCTGGTTTGGATTTGATGATGTTGTGGTGAGAACCACCCAGAATGGCTTGGTTTCATTCGAACTCTGTGAACATTTAGAGAGGTAAGACAACAGTAAACCCTCAGAGTTGATTACATTTTTTTCCTGATAACCCGTAGTTGATGCCTGGAGCTGAAATCACATGATTTCATTTTTATTCCTCAACTAAGAATATATATTGTCTCTTAGGATATACTTAAAATGCAAGCCACAATTGATGTCAGTAGGCCATTTATAAGTTTGTGCGTGATAGTTTAACAAGTATTTTTGGAAAGCACTAGTAATGTAGACTTATTTTTACATGCTATTTTCTAACTCCAAAAAATAGTTTTAAAATAGCACCTTCCTTTTTGAAATTCCATGAGGATAGTAATTAGCTGTTTATATTATGCTCATCTCATAACTGTGTATCTCTAAAGTGAATTTGTTATTTCAGTAGCCTCATTTTGCTTTCTCATTTCCATGTTTTCTAGACAGCCCATTATGAAGAGAGTTTTCAGGTTTGCGAGGAGTAGACACGCATGAAGACAGGCAATCACATGTCTAAAGATAGACTTCATTTTGAAATGAAAATGTTGCCTCTATTAGTATTTTGATCAAGTTCTGCAGAAACTTAAGTCTGAGATGAGACTTAAGTGATTTTATCAAGGGTGGCTGCCCAGGTGGATATGGAAGGCAACAAAAGAAACAAAGTCAGGGAAGAAGATAGGAAAGTACTGATTTGGGCTGAAGCTTTTCCCCAACTTGGTACTTTAGGGGAGCGATGAAGTACCAGATGGGATAGTGTGGATTAAGACCTCCTCTAAGAGAACCTGCCCCTGCCCCCGGGGGGAAGGAGGTGGTAGAAGTCTCTATTAATTTGCTAGAGCTATTTTAACAAAATATCACAAACTGAGTGGCTTGACAAATAAATGTATTCTTTCACAGTTCTGCACACCAGAACCCCAAAGCAGGGTGTGAATGAGTTATGCTGCTCCTAGGAACTGTGAAGGGAGGACATGTAACAGCATCTCTTTGGTTAGTAGATGGGCACTATGTTCAGATGCTGTTCTCACTGTATGGATTCCCTCAGATTGAAAGTCCCCCATTGTATGACACTAGTCTTAATCAATTGGAGCCCACTCTAATGACCTTGACTCAATGTCATCACCTTGGTTAACACCCTCTGTCCATATAATGTTACATTTTAAGTTACAGGGGGTTAGCATTTTAGGATATGAATTTGGTGACAGGATGTCATTCAGCCCATAGCAAGATCCATCATAAAAATCCTTACCATACAGCGGTACAGATGAATATTTCAGTCCACACTTAATTATGGTATGTATTCTGAATCCCACTGGATATAAATGGATTCTCATGAACATCTTTTTCTTCTGTCATTTTTTTTGGTTGGTTGGGGCTTGAACTCTAGGCCTAAATGCTGTCCCTCAGCTCTTCAGCTCAAGGTGAGCACTCTACCACTTGAGCCACATTGCCATGTCTGGTTTTCTGAGTGGTTTATTGGAGATATGAGTCTCACTTTCCTGGCCTGGCTGGCTTTGAACCTTGATCCTCAGATCTCAGCTTCCTGAGTAGCTAGGATTACAGGCGTGAGCCACGAGCACCCCGCTCTTCTGTCATTTTTAAGTAGTACTTTAGTGATGCTAGTTAAAACCAGAACCAACCTCTGATTAATGATTGGATAATAGAAACCTCATAACTGTGTGGCCATCATAGTGAAGTCATATCAACCTCTGTATATCATATTATTGTATTTAGTCATTGTAATTGCAATTACATGAACTATACAACTTGCAGGTGGGATGGGGGACAGGAGGGGAAAACTGGGAGAGAATGAGGAAATGGGTGACAGTGTTGAAAAAGAAATGTATTCATTACCTGACTTATGTGACTGAAACCCTTCTGTACATCACCTTTACAATAAAATTTTAATTAAAAATAAAACAATTGCAAATGAATTATAATTAACAATTACAAGCTGAGAATTCTTTTGTATCTAAACCTATCCAATCACAGAAAAGGTACAGAAAAAAATGCACAAGACTAAATAAATAATACACCAAAGAGGGTACTTCCCAAATGGTGTTTCTAGGATTAGATGTTAACAACAACAAAAAAAATGGGCTGACGTATTTCTAGAGCTGAGCCCAGACTATGTGATTAATTTAAGAATGTCTTTCAGAATATAGTTTGATCTGAGCTGGTTTTATAATGGCCAAGCATGTCACCAATGCCTTTCATGAAGATAAATCCAAGCTGGTCATCAGTATACTGTTTTTAAAAGAAAGCTTGAGGCCAGGCACCAATGGATCATGCCTATAATCCTTGCTACTCAGTAGGCTGAGATCTAAGGATCATAGTTCAAAGCCAGCCTGGGCAAGAAAGTTGGTGAGATTCTTGTCTCTAGTAAACTACTCAGAAAAAGCAGAGAAGTTGGTGCTATGGCTCAGGTGGTAGAGCTCTAGCCTTGAGCATAACAAGGCTTAGGGACAGCACCCAGGCCTTGAGTTCAAGCCCCAGGACTGTCAAAAAACAAAAACAAAATCAAAGCTTGGAAGATGATGACTTTTTCCTTGGGCATGACTAGCAATCAACAATGTTTCTGTGGCAGCATTCCCTTCAGATCTTGCTTCTTTCCTTCCCTACAGGTTTATTGTGCTTCACCTCTCTTCTATTGTGGACAATAGCTACTTGGTTTCTTTTGTGAAGTCGCTAGAGGAAGCCTCTCTCAGCACCACTGCCTGTGTGGTACTGTCTCACCAGAAGGACAGGCCACGTAGAATAGTCATTTTGGTGGTGCCTTTTAAAGACTTAAACTGCACACTTAAGAACTTGCGCCTGGAAGGGTTTGGGGGACTTTCAGAGTCATCTCGCCATTTCCAAGTAAGAGAAGGAGAACAATTGCTCCTGAAGTTTACTGGAAACATATTTGGTTCGAGTAAGTATGAAGACATCTCTTTTGTTTCCTATGACCCTGTGGGCTAGAAGCCACCCACTTTAGAAGGAGTTCCTGAAACTTGTGTCACTGAAGGAATCTTTGACTTAGAGAATGAAGAAGAGCCTTCAGGGAGAAAATAGGAAGTGAAAAAGATATATTAATGTTATCTTAAATTCATTCCCTATAGTCTCTCTGTTTTCCCCCCATATTGTGTGGATATATACTGTCCTCTGGGAAAGTAGTAAGTGATGTTCTTTTAGAATGTTCTCCAAAATCACACCCTGAGTTGAAGCTAAGGAAATCCCTTTCCAGTTTAATGCACAAGCCATCTACGTGCTCCCTGATTCCATCCTTAGCCCCATGGATATATTAAACAGAAACATACAATATGTGCATATATCAGATAATTCCTGGCTTGCCATATTTGACATAAAATTTTAACTTTTCTCTTTCATTCATTCTTTCTTTCTCTCTTTCTTTTTCCTTCTCTCTCTCTCTCTCTTTCTTTCTTCTGTGGTAGGATTTGAACTGAGAATTTTCACCTGCTAGACAAGTTCTCTACAAATTGAAACTTACTCTCATCCTTTTTTGCCTCATTTATATTTTTCAGAAAAATAGAAATCTTATTTTATCCCACCCCTTACTCCAGGGGCCAACCTCAGACAATAATCCTCCTATCTCTGCCTCTAGTGTGGCTGGGCTTATATGACAATACTCAAGGATGCAGTCAGGATAATGGCTATGACATGTGATAGAAAGAAGTGGGCGATGATAGAGCATAGAAGAGGTATGGGAGATACAAGACAAAGTAAGGAAAGGTTAAAGACAAAGTAAAGGAAGGTAAAGAACAAGCAGAAGTGCTGGGAAAGTGGCTTGTGGTAAAGTGCTTGCCTGGCATTCTTTTTTTTCCTTTAGTGATAATTATTTTTATTTTATTTTATTGTAAAGATGCTGTACAGAGGGGTTACAGTTACATGAGTAAGGCAATGAGTACCTTACCTGTCAATCATTGTTACCCCTTCCCTTCCTTGTTGTTGTCCCACTATCCCTTCCCTCCCCCACCTCCCACACTCCTTCCCACCCCATCCCCTACCCCTCACTTCCTCCTGAACTTGTAAAGTTCATTTCCAATATACTGTCCAGTGGATATCCTTGTTGCAATGGGTCATCCTGTGTCCTGGTTTCAGCGTTTTGTTATTCCCCTTCCCCTCCCCAGATTAGACAAATGTATATATGAGATGCAGGTACCAAAATCAAGTACAGTGACAACGGGGATATGCCATAGGGGAAAGAACATACAAAGCAAACAACAACAAAAAATAAAATCACATGGTACACTTAAAACAATAACAATGAAGTCAGACTTCTTGTGTCCTTATCTTGGGGTTCATTTCACTTAGCATCATCTTATATGGTCATTTGTACAAGGCTTTTGAGCTTTTCAGCTCATCTGACAAAATTATCCTATATGTATACTAATTGTTGCAAATAGGGGAAACCTATTTGTTAGGAAGTGGAAAGACTTGCCTAGCATTCTTGAAGCCCTGGGTTCAATTCCTCAGTACCACATATACAGACTCAAGTGTGTGCTAGCCTTCAGGGATGGTGTCCAGGCCCTGAGTTCAAGCCCCAGGACTGGGGGGAAAAAAAACACGGAGAAAAAGGGATGGTAGGAGTAAGAGCTATTAGAGCATTTATCTATCTTTGAGTTCTTTCCCTCTCTAATTCCTTTTCTGAGGTGGTATAGGAGGAAAAATTAATGAATGGGTTTTATGGGGTTTCTGTCCCAAGAGCCAGCTGCACACTTGACTTTGTATGTATGTATGTATATGTATTTACGTGTGTGTGCATATATGTGTGTTTGTATGTGTACTATGAAATTTAACAGCTATTTTCTCTCTGATTTAGGAAATAAATCAAAATCCCAGTGGCTCAAGGTTGCTTAAATGAGACAATAAGGATTGAACCAATATTAAATAGTCATTTTTATATTGTCACAGTAATAAGTGAGATCCAGAGTATCTCATTTTGAAGCATATTATCCACTTTCAAATACAGGGTCTCGGTTATCTGAGCCCCTGACAGGATTTAATGAGGATGTCAGAGAAGGAAGAGGGAAGGGAAAGGAAGGAAGGCAAGGAAGGAAGGGTGGAAGAGATTCCCTTCCTACTTGGCTTCTGGAGCAGAAAACACAGTGTCTATCTTGGGGAAATCTCTCTGATGATAGAATCAAAAACCAGAAGTGCCCTACCCAAACAAATGATGCAAATGATTTTCCTGTAATACTTTGAACAGCAGCTGTGTTTACCTACTACCCTAAACAAGAGCCAGTTACTGTTCTTCTAATAGACAGTGGAACTGAGTGTACCATTGTCTCTCATGGAGATGAGGAGCCCAGGCTAAATTAAGACTGCCTGACGACAGATGGCATGTGTGTTCAATTCCCATGGAAGGTGTGGAGAAGAGATCGTTTTCACTTAAAGAAAGTCAGGCAGGATGCCCAGATTCTTTCTACTTTGCTTTTTCTAGAGACCAATGCTCAGACCTAGAGTCCTCTCTACTTAAGAAGACCAAGACTTAGAAAAAAAAATAACACTGTTCTTCCATCAGAGCCTGGGGCAGTCTTTATGAATCTCAAGGAGAGGAAGCCTGAAGTTCTATGCAAGGTTCTTTCCATTTCTTCTATCTCTGTTCTTCCCCTCTACTTCCAATTCTCTTGTGCTTTTATCTTCAGATACCTTAATGATCATGTGGAGAGAAAGCCTTCCTTCTGCTTGTGCTTGTGTCATATCTTATTCTCTTACAGACTGGCACTGTTACTTTTTGCTCCTTACCACAGATGCAGTTTTCTACTTATTTATTTAATCGTAGGTTCACCATTAGTGTTTCTGCCTACAGTCTTGTGAGTAGAAATAACCGTGACTTACTTCTCTGATATGTCAGTAAAATTGAAAACTACAATAGCACAATTTCTTTAAACTAATTGTCTCCTTTTTCCAGGGACCAAGGATCCTCAATTATATAATGTCACTTTTTAGCAGCAATAAAACTACAGTTTTAAAATGTATAGAATGTTTTCTGTTTATAACAGTGAGATCATGGTATTTCTTACTTGTAAGTCATCAATGATTTATTCTTATTGTGTATGTCAATATGACTTTTAGATCTATATTTTAGATATTATATTTTTAAATTGGCAAGAAGAGGTTTATAAAGTCTGTATTTGGATGTAAATATGACATTGTTTCAATTCTTGTTTTCTATCTATAAACTATTCCTTATAAGACTGTCTGTCTGGCAGGGAATACCTTTTCAAGGAAAGGGAGAAGAAGTTTAATACCAAATAAAATTTATTAGAATAAAAGTCTTAATCTCTCTCTCTTGCATGCAAGTACATGTGTGCATACACAAGAGAGAAATGCACACACACACACACACACACACACACACACACACACACACACACTGCACCACACTGTTCTTTCCTCTCGCTGGGCAAAACAAAAAGTTTTCATGAGAGTCAGAATTAGATAATCAATTTTACAATGTCCCACTGAAGCAGAAGTAAGTTTTAATCAAATAATAAAGCTTCATCATGACATTTCTTTTTAAATAATTCAGCTTTCATATTATTTGCTGTCATTGCTATCATTTTTGTAGCATTTAATATGTAGCAGACCCCATGACAATCATTTCATTTTGGTTGGCATTCTTAAGAGATAAAAGTTATTTATCTTGATTTATGATAAATAAAGTAAGATTTCAAAAAGCTATTAAGTAGGAAAGAACCAGATAAATATTACAGTATACACAAATGATAGACAATGTATGTGAATCTAGACCTTTATTGAACATATATTACTGTATTCTACATTATTGCTTCTCTTTCCTTTCCTTTCCCTTCATCCCTCCCTCCCTTCCTCTCTCTCTCCCTCTCTCTCTCCCTCTGTCTCTGTCTCTCTCTCTCTTTCTGTCTGTGTGTGTGTCTCTCTCTGCCTGTCTGTCTCTCTCTCTCTGCTTCTGAGGCTTGTATTCTGGGCCTAGGTGCAATCCTTGACCTCCTTTTACCCAAAGCTAGCACTCTACCACTTGAACCACAGCTCTACTTCTGGATTTTTCTGTGATAACTTGGAAATAGGAATCTCATTATCTTTCCTGTCTGGGCTGTCTTCAAATCATGATCCTCAGATCTCAGCCTCCTGAGTAGCTAGGGTTACAGGCATGAGCCACCAGTGCATAATTAAGGAATAATATAGATATATCTGTCTTAGAAAACAGTGATGCTTTTTCTACTGTTGTAATACCAGGGCAAAAGATCCTGTCATAAAGTTCATTTTTCAACATAGTGTCTTGTACACCTCATTGTTGCAATGGGTCAACCTGTATCACTATTTAAACAATTTGTTTTTTCCCTTCCCCTCCCCAAATTATACCAACATCAAATACCGTGGGGGAGGGGGATGTTGGTGCGGGTGAGGAAGTGGGAGAGAAGCGATGGTAGGGGAAAAATCAAAGGAGGAGCAACAATGCTTGATAAATGTACTCATTACCTCTCTCATGTAACTGTAACCCCTCTGTACAGTATTTTCACAATAAAAAACTTGTTTAAAAAAAAGATCCTGTCATAGGAAGACCTGCAGAGATGAAAGCTTGTTTTTACAAAGGCTTCAGTATTTTCAGTAATGAATTGAAAACATCCCTCTATGTATCATTGTTTAAGGAGCTATCCACCACATTTTCTTAGGAATTTTTTTTGCCAGTCCTGGGGCTTGAACTCAGGACCTGGGCACTGTCTCTGAGCCTCTTTTGCTCAAGGCTAACACTCTACCACTTGAGCCACAGTGCCACTTCTGACTTTTTCTGTGTATGTGGCACTGAGGAATTGAACCCAGGGCTTCATGCATGCTTACTCTACCACTAAGCCACATTCTCAGCCCTTACTTTAGTGACATAAATCCTATAGTTATTTGACATGGAAGTTTGAGAACAGCTCCATCTGTTTCTGCTGCAGTGGAAAAATGTTTATTTCGGGGCTATTCAAAAGGGTAGCCACTAGACTACTGTAGCTACTGGGCATTGTCAACTGTGGTTAAAGTGACTGAGGAATTGGCCTTTCAGTTCTATTTAAATTTAATTAGTTTTCATTGAAACTTTAATATCCACGTGTTATAGGAGAGTTCAGTACTAGTGTGCCCTGTGAGCTCCTGATAATGTACAACATAATATTAGCAATTAGGAGAATGAGAAAAACATCATTACCAAAGGGTGAAGATAGTTTCTAAGTGCTGAAAAAGGTGAATGTTTTCAGTGGTTTCTTCTGGTAGCAGGACAAAGAAAGAAAAGAATATCAAACTCTTTAGAAGGAGAGCACATGCCTCAGTTAAGGCTGAGGTGAGAACTCTTCCTATTTCTCTGCCGTCTTAGCTTACTGCTGCTTTGTCAAGTTAGGTGATAATGGATACCTGACATTCACTCAAAAAACTCAAGTAATCCTGCTTTGAATCCTTATTTTTACACTAACATATATCAAAGGAAACATGGTATACTTCAATGGTAACAAATGTGTTTTTGCCTCTATTTAGGCAATGGGAGAGATTATGGAAAAGAATTCAAACTTATTTTTCACTTACAAAGAAGACCCAGGCTGGAACTCCAAATCAAAGAGGTGGATGAATTTGGGAACTATAGCTGTCCTCATTACAAGGGCACCATTGTAGTTTACAAAGTACCTAGAGAAAAGATAGTCCCCGACTTGGACCCATCTCCTGTACTTCAGGGAGACTATTGTCAGTTGCCGATCTGCAAATTACCACTGAGATTGCCAAAGGTGAGTGATTGTACTTTCCAGATTACCTCATTTTGTTCATTTTTTTCTTTCTCCACAATAGTCACTTGTCTTTGCTAATTGATATATGAAGTCAGGAGCTTAGGTAATAACAAATTGAATAAGGAGCCTTTTGAGCCAATTTTAGAATGGCAGAGCATATATTAGGCTATCTTCTTCAGTTCACATTAGTCTTTATAATGAGAGCAATTTCAATTGATCTGTTCCACACAGTATGTTGTTAATAACTGTAGAAATAGTGTCATTCCTTTTCTGTAGCTAAATCTGAATGAATGAAAAAATGTTGGTGGAAGTATTGAATGCTTTTCAGAACATAGGAAAAAATCATATTGAATATCAACTCTTCTCATTGATCCTTAATAAATCCTGTGGGCTTGTTTTATGAGCTGATACGCCTATGGAATAACCTTACTATTATCAGAAAGTAGATTTAAAGTACTTGTCTCAAACAATTAAACATAAAAATTAGCATATTTTATTGCTATATATAAAATTTCTATCTAGGACTTAACTATATTCTTAATGAGAAATATAACACAAATCCTTTTGGTATTACCTAGGACAAACAAACACCTTATTCTTTAAAGAAATATAAAATTATTTTGCAAGCTTTTATTTTTTGTGTTGTAAGTAGAAAAAAATGTTTTTTAATACATAGATTTTGTGCTGATTTCAAGTAAATCAATAATATGTTATTAATAAAAGATCATTTGAGCTTCTGAAATAGGAAATGTATATACTAGGCATTATGATAAATATAGAGTTTTAGAGAATAATTTATAGTTTAATTCTGCATTTTTAGGAATGGTAGCTATTGTCCACATGGGACTATCATTAAATGTTAACAACATAATGGATTGAAATGAAATGTAATATGCAGTGTCAGATTCTCACAGATTTTAAAAATGGTACAAATATATACAAACATATATATATATACACACATATACATTTATATACCTACAGATATGTCATATTAAGTGAAATAAAGTTATTAACACTAATTTTGTTTGTTATTTAGCTTTATGTGACTAGTAGAATATTATAGGGCTCTTAATTATGTTTCTGTGGCGTAGTATTCTTCTAAATGAGTTTATAGCCCAGAAATTCATGTAAAACATGTACACAAAATTACAATTTTAAATGATAGCTGATTTGATCAATGGTCTAAACAATATAATAATAGTGTTCAGACGAGGGAAGTAGCTGTTCTAGAAGCTAAAACAATAGAAGTTTTGTGGTGGATACAATATTTTTTATCTGAACTTTGTAAGTTGGTAGGAATTTGGCCATTAAAAATGAAGGGAACAAAAAGCAAGTTAGGGTGAGGAGATGGAATGTGTTTGATTGCAATGACAAACATAGTTTCCCAGAAATTCATACTTCATATAAAAGCCCTTATAGTAATTTTTTAATATGCCAAAGTCTTTCATACTTTTGTAACATCAAATACTCACAAAAAATTCACTGAGGCATTATTACTATTCTCATTTCATAAGAAACTGAGACAAAGCCCTGTACCTAAGTGGCAAAGCTACGAATCAAACCTAGGAAATATTCTTCCCATGTATTTAACAATAGCTCCTTAGCTGATAAAAGCTCTGATCTTGGAGGAAATAAGGTACAGCTGAGGTATTCTTGCTTGTGAATCTTATGGAAAAATCCATATATATGAATTTTCTAATGGTAAAGTAGAAATATTTAGCAAATAATGTTCTATGGATACTGACCAATCAAAGTGGCTTTACTGCATTGGAACAGACTTCTAGGGAATTCTTTACTTTCTGGTTTGAGGAGATCCAGGACTTCCTGCAAATCATGCATAGGTAGCATACTGAGTATGGCCCAAAGTGTACAACCAATATCAGCTGTGTTTCTCTGCTCTTAATTTTCATCTTGTCTCCTTTACTTCATAGCTTGTCCTTCTCTTCTCTTAGAGTTTTTGTAGTTTACATATTTATTCTGTTTCATTTTTCAAGTTACACTTAATGATTTTACATATTGACTGGAAATGTGCTCAGTGGTAGTGTACATGCTTAGCATGGTGAAGGCCCTGAATACAATAATCAGCATTGATAAAATAATTCTCTGTATCTTTGGGTGTATTTCACTGTTTCTATGCACATATACAATAAACAAATTAATTTTCATGTCTACCACCTGAAGAATTTATTTCAAAATAGCTAGAAGATTTTGAATATTCTTCCAAGCTGATTCTTCATCATTCAAGTTTTTCTCATATTACTTGTTGTCTTTGTCCATGTTTTTTTATTCTTATCCCCTGTTTCTTTAAAAGTTATTATTTTTGCCTTACTTGTTTTTCTGCCAGTCCAGGGCACTGGCCTTCAGCATTTTTGCTCAAAGCTAGCCTTCTACCACTTGAGCCACAACTCCACTTCCTGCTTTTTTGTGGTGCTTAGTTAGACATAGTCTCATGGATTTTCCTGTACAGGCTGGCTTTGAACCATGATCCTTAGATCTCAGACTCCTGAGTAGCTAGGATTCTGGGCATGAACTATCAATACCTAGCTAAAAGTCACTTTTTAACCTATTACCCTCTTTTGATTTATTTTTGGTCATTCATCCTTAATTGAAACAATTACCAAACACAGAGCCTGGTCCATAGTAGGCATGTTAAGTATGTGTGACTGGATGAAAGAAGGTAGATCTATAGCCTTCATTAATTTGAGAACCATTGATGAAAAGGAATCTTTTTATTTGCTTAGATCAGTGATTTGGTAGCTCGTTGAACAAACTGATCTATCAAGGGAAATAGCTGAGGATCAACATGAAGATTTGAAATGGAGAAGTAAACATCAGGCCTACTCTCTAGGTGGTTTAATTGAGAACATTTTTTTTCCCCAGAGAGCTCTATGTTATTCTGTTCTAGTGTGATTAGAGGGAGACAAATTAGGGGCTGCTGTAATTCCCTAGTATGTTCTCTAGTAAGGTAAGATTCCCTTTTTATTCCTATTCCTTATGTTTGGTGTCACCTAGAGCTCTCCGCAAGGGTGTGAGCTCTCCATCTGAGGAGGGCCATGCTGGTGCTCACCTTGCTCTGCTCAAATTTCTAGTGCAGTGCCAGCGGGCTGGTAGGTCCTTCCGGTTGTTTGTGACCATGTGAGAGAGGAAATTTCAGCAAGCCTTAAAACTGTCAATTCTTGAAACAAGATTGGCTTGTTGGACATTTTATCCCCCTGCTGTGCTTTCTGGTTTACTCGGTTGGCAATATGTCATGTGTACTTTCCTATTTTCCCCCATGGGTTGCACGGGGCTTTCCAGATTCACTCTCAAACCCTGTGTCATGCTTAAGGCCTTCACAAGTAAGTTCCTTGGGATTGAGAAAGAATGTGTGGTAGGAAATGCTTTTCCTTTTTTCTAAGTAGCACACTTAAATGGGAATTGAAACCATGACTTTTTTATTTTTTTGTCAGCTGTGGGGCTTGAACTCTGGGCCTGGACATTGTCCCTCAGCTCTTCAGCTCAAGGTTAGTGCCCTACCACTTGAGCCACATTGCCACTTCTAGTTTTCTGGTGGTTAATTGGAGATGAATCTCATAGACTGTCCTGCTTGGTCTGGCTTTGAACTGAGATCCTCAGATCTCAGCCTCCTGAGTAGCTAGGATTTCAGGCATGAGCCAATGATGGCCGGCACCATGACCTTTCTTTTTTGTCAGACTGTGAGAATAGACTTTGTCCATAAAGTCCAGAACTACAAAACTATTTAAGCAGAGTTGAAATGGGCTTTTTTTCAGGAAATACAAGTAGCTTTATTAGAATCTTTTGATATTAATGAACATGGCATTATTTGAAAATGCATACATGTAATTTATGTGAGGCTATTTATCAAAATTAAAGAGTATATATACAAGGCAAATAGTAAATAGTGTTTGAAGAATAAATGTTATTGTTTATCTTTTCTGGAAATAGAAAGGATATTAAAGTGTTAAACATTAGATAAAGTAAACTCAATTTAAAAACATTTTAAAATAGTATCACTTTAAGTAATACTTGTGTTTAACTCACTTTTCTCCAGGAGGGCAATCTCTGTGTTGGGAGGAGTCTAAAGAGTTTAATGGGTAGATAGGGGCTGAATTTGTCTTATTTCTTTAAGTTCATTGAATATTTTTGAACCACAGTTGACCATGGATAATTGAACGCACAGAAGAAACTTGTGAAACATCTATCTCAAAGCTAAAACTGTGGCTATTCGGAAGTTAATGTTTATAGTGTAAACATACAGAGAGATACACATTCACACACAAATAATTTCAAGTTGTAACATTACTACTTCTAATTCCCAACAAATATGAAGATACTTTCACTTCATGCTTGAGGATCTCAGTATTTTTATATTATTATGAATGAATTAATATATTAATTCATTCAACAAACACATATATTTTCCTATTTCCATTTCTTTCTTCCATTGTCTTTTTGAAGTCTGTCTCCCAATCAATTGACAGACTTACACTTAAAGCCATCAGTAAAATCGTACCGGTGTCCCTACAATGATTTAATGACACTCAAAAGTATAGCCTTCACTCAACCATAGATGCTTTGATCCAAGCACGACAGTACAGGCCTCATGTTATGCATGGCACCGAGACTTATGTATGACATTTTCTCTTAAACATAGCCTTTCATTATGGTTAATTTATAAATTAGGACTAGTAAGATATTAACAACCATAACCCACAATGAAATAAAACAATGATCATATGCTGCAATAAAAACATGCTGCCACTTGAAGTGTTATGAGTCATTTATTTCTGGGAACTCTCATTGAATATTTTTGAACCACAGTTAACCATGCATAATTGAACACACAGAGAACACCACAATGCCACAGAGAAAGGGGGACTGCTGCACTAGATGCTATGTGAGGTGTGAAGGTAATCACTATTGACTCTGCTTCCTCCCTTCTACCCCCCTCTTTTCCCATCCCCCTCCTCTCCCTTCCTCACTTATCCAGCTCTAAC